TAAAAAGAAAATCAAAATCTCAGGGCCACCCCGCAACTCCTTATGCAAAAGAGAAAGGTGCCTGCCTCAGGCACCTGTGAAGAACAGGCCCCCACAGATCATCATTACAGAAATTGTTTGCCAACCTCCCATAAACAAGGACATGCAAATTTTAACTACGTCTAGCACTAAAACTAAAGCCTTTTGGATTCCACACTAATAACGAATTACACATTTATCTTTCCAGGTAACAAAACTGTAGAACACAGAATTGAACATCCTTCCACCTACCCAGCTACATCCACGGAATCGATGATTCCCTCACTCCCTTTTTACCTTCACGTTCCCCTCATTTTGTGGAAAATGTAGATTTCCTGGGCCTCACAAGAATGTAACCTCTTTGCCTCATCAAGCCCCTACTCCTTTTCCTTCTTTCTGCATCCCCTTAAAATGTTAAAGATTCCAATTTGCCCTTCAGGAAAGACAGCCACAGCTTCTGTGATTGTTCCCTGAGTGCATCCTCAACTCTGGCTTCACAAACCTCCACTGATTGAGATTTCTGCCTCAGTCACTTTAGGTCAACAATATGACGAATAACTCATGATAACCTATTTCTGACTATACCGTATCATTAGTACAGTTCACTTTTACCACAAACATGATAACCTAATAGAAAAACCAACTCACAAGAAAAGTATCATTTTTCCCCCCGAAGCAGTAATTTTCAACTGTGATTAAATGGTGCCCCACATCTGGGAATGTTTCCATAATGGAAACCACAGAGCAACTCCTGAGAATACACTGGGTCTTGCGTGGGCTAAAGTGGGCCAAGAGACACTGCTCTAGTGGGTAAATATTCTACAGGACAGGCTTGATGTGTTATTTCATTCGCCCTCCACAACCACCCTTTCAGGTTAAACCTTTATTCTCATTTAATATGTGAAGAAACAAAGCACAGAAAAGGAACTGAATTTAAGATTAAACAGTAAATGTTAAAGCCTAGTTGCAAATCCAGAACGCTTTATTTTCAATTAACAACTCTCTGGTCACCAGAAACTTTTCGAACGTGAGTACATAAAGAAAATCTTCACAGCATTCAAGCTTAAACTGAAAACCCAATTTGTAGTCTCCAAATCTTACCATTTTGCGAAGTTTAACCACCCGAGTGCCACCATTCTTGTCACCACCAACTGGTTTTGTAACAGTGGCGAGGACCTTCTCCTTCTTTTTCTTTTCAACCTGCAAGGACATAAATGCATCACAACGTAAGAGAATGACAGTTAAGGCTAAGACGTAACGGTCAGTGGTTCTCCTCTTCTCTTACCTTGGATTTAGCCACAGAGTATTTCCTCTTGTACATGGCCTTCCTAGAGTACATGGCAGATCGAGAATATCTGCCGATTCCTCTGACGAGAACGGGATTTCGGCTGCAGTGGGGCTTCCCCTTCTTAACCTTTTTAGTTTTGAGGTTAGCCTTTTTCACTTTGCCACCAGCATCAGCCTTCTTGGCTTCAGGTTTCTTCTCTTTAGTATCTGGCTTCTCAGCTTTTTCACCCGCCATCTACCAATATTTAGGGAGGGGGAGAGCATTTCACCAATCATCTCGTAAACAAGGCAATACTGAAATTGTAAGCAGATGGGGTGGGCTCGCCGGACCACAATTTCCCCATCCTCACAAGCCTTTTTTAGGGCTGTCTCCCTAATACAATATAAACTTCTTAGTTGGGACTACCTTACACATGTCAAGTTTTTGGTAAATGTTAAGAGCTCAAAAGTCCCTATCCCATTATTTTATTATTCCTGTTCTGTGAACTGGAAAACAGAGTCTTTAAAAAGCCTCCGCAGCTAGGAGGTAGTGAGACCAGAACTTGAAACTGTTTGCTTTCAGACTTGTCCTCAATTTTTTTAAAACCATTGTCTCATCCAAAAAAGTTCAGTTTAAGAACTGGCAACACAAACACAATCAGCCCAAATGCAGCCCAGACTGAAAAAAGCGCAAAGACCAAAAGGCGACTTCCGGTCGTGGACGTGGGAAGACGGGAAAGGAGCTTTTGGCTTCAGCCCCAAACCCCAACGTGGCTGAGACAAGCTCTGTGGCGTCTTCTGCAACCCGGGCCCGGGAATCCTGAACGCGCGCTTTGCCTTGGTTCCTCTAGCCCCATCAGCCCGCTATGGATCCCGGCAGTGGCCCCGTTTCCCCAGCCGAAGAGGGTGGCGAGCAGCCGGAGGAAGCCCCTACGGCATTTCACCTCACCCTCTTCATTCCCCGCCACAAACCCAAGCGAAAGAAATGAAGTGTCTGGGAGGCCTCTCAGTTGGCCATGGACACGTCCGACACCCCGTAGGTGTTGACTTGATGCCTTCCAAGTTCGGATGGCGAAGGATTAGGGTCCTGAAGTCGAGTCTTGCCGCAAACAAACCACCATTCTTACCTTGCAAGATGGGAAAGAGAACTAAGAGCTCAGCTTCCGGTTTATAAGTAATCACGGGAACGTGTGTAGTCTCACTTCCTTCCGGGTCTCAGGCATCATGGGAAATGTAGTTTTTCCCTCCATCAAAGGAAATGTAGAAAGTCCTGTGTAGTGAGGTTTTTTTTTTTTTTTTTTTGACAACCTCAAACTCCGGGGCTCAAGTGATCCTCCTGCCTCCGCCTCCCGAGTAGCTGGGACTACAGGTTCACACCATGATGACACCTGGCTAATTTTTCTACTTTTGGTAGAGACCAGGGTCTCATTCTTGCTCAGGCTGGTCTCAAACTCCTCACCTCTCCCGCCTCGGCCTCCCAGAGTGCTAGGATTACAGGCATGAGCCACCATGCGGGGCCTCTAAAATAAAATCTTAAGGCTCCTCCCCCACCAGCTGACTGAATGGAACCCTCTTGGCCAAGGGGATGCCCTAAAACTGAGTTACTGGTTATCAGACATGCGTTATCATGCCCCCTTCCCTTGTTGTAGATATCCTTTGTTTTTGTTTTTGTTTTTTTTTGAGACAGAGTCTCACTGTGTTGCCCAGGCTAGAGTGCCGTGGTGTCAGCCTAGCTCACAGCAACCTCAAACTCCTGGGCTCAAGTGATCCTTCTGCCTCAGCCTCCCGAGTAGCTGGGAC